AGTAAGAGACCACTTGCCAGGGCAATTGGAGGTTGACCACATGGTCAAACTGCTTGCATAGGTCAGGTTTTTCTCGCCGTATGTAGGCCGCTTCCAAGTAGCGCAGGGTTTGATTCGTTCGGGCCCGAAAAAGTACTCTAAACGGTGTTTTGACTTCTACAGAATGACCGCTGTCTAGTAGATGCTTGGTAATAGAGGACTGTGGTACTCCGCTTTCTTGTTTGAAAAGCTACTTGGGCAAGTGCTCAGCGGCCCTGATTGCCAGTTGACTTTGCGTACGCCCAATGTAAATACGTCCACAAGTACATGTGAATTCATACACACAATTTGAGATGGCGTGCAATGGCAAGGCATCCTTCGCTTGTTTTACTGGAACGCTTTTAGTGGAACCTAGGTAAACGAGTTTTGCTGCGTTGTAGATCCTTTCTATAGTACAACGCAACCATCGTTTGACTGTATTCGAGATGTCATCACCCTTAAAGCGTAAGGATATAATGACGGGCTTTTTTTGGAAATGACTGTTCCAAAAATTTTGGCTGTTGTGAATTGGTATACTTCTAAATAAAGCGTGCAGGATAGACACAGTGCAGTAGGACTGATTTAATAAGCGAAAGATCTGCAGGCAAAGTCTCACTAGAGCAAATGTTCCTTGCTCGTTGAAAGAGAGAGAGTATGTACTAGATTTCGCTTCCACTGAATTGGCACGAAACTCATGAACTGTAAGTATAGCCCTTTCCGGGCTATACACCGGGCGCCCTATAGAACGATCTTTCTCTCTAAACATGAGAACATCTGGGAAGGATAGCTTGTTATGTTTCTCTGTTTCCATTGTTAGGTTAATTTAAGGATTTAGCGTATTCATAAAATTGAGAAGGTCATCGGCGTCTTCTTTAGAACCAACAATTGTGAATATGTCGTCCAAATATCATTTATATGATTTTGTCTTACAAAGTCTTCTGAACTGCTTCCTGGGACTCGAATATTCGCTAATATTGGCAAAGTCTTGATGATGCCTTTTCTTCTAGATGACCCAGAAAAAACAGCGAATGCGAGCCCTAGTGAACTGCCCATTGCGACTCCATCCATTTGTCTATATATTTGTCCATTAAATAGATATTGAACATTTTGGTACAGAGTAGCAGCATTTGGCGTAGTATTTTAGGCGACAGACGAGTTTCTGACGCATGGGCGCAAATAATGTCCATTGTTTTGTCCAGCGGTACATTTTTAAATAGTGATGCCAATAAGTCCTGCCGTATACGCCTGTTTTATATTTGTACCGGGGAAGAAATGCTTACTTGTCTTAACTTCCTTGCCTTCAGAATGACATCGAGTACTACACTAACGCTGTCTGCCGTGGTTACCTCGCCGATCCCCAGGAAGTCGCCAACGCTCGCATCTGGCTTGCCGAGAAGTACGGCTACGAGGCCATCCCCGATCCGTCTGCTGGTCCTCTCAATGATCTGGCTCTTGTTTGCAAACAGTCCTGGCAGATCTTCCATGGATTGGAGCCCGGCCGGTTGGTTAGCCTGACAGATCGCGTGGTCATTAAGCCTAAGTCACCCGAGCGCGAGGAGTTCTATAAGGGTTGACATGATTGCACTCCCCACCCCTCATCCTTGTCATTGAAAACTGACTAGGTGGTTCCCACTATCATACGGCGCTAGGTTTTTTGTTAGGAAAAAAAACATCTATTCAAATGTTTACTGCGTCCTGGTGTCGTTTTGGGTCCACTGACTGTCATGGTGCCCCTTCTGTCTCCGGATGACGCAATCCCTTTTTTACAAAAAAATAAATTTTCACCCAAGCAGTTTACCTGCATGTTTAGTCTCTCGATCTACGATCTTAACTGTGCCTGTGCTTTCCTTATGTCCTTTTCGTTGGGCGAAAATTGCATCCTACGTTGCCATTGTCCTCGAGTATATCCACCGAGAGCGACCGGACCACAACCCAGTTGTATTTTAAAAGCTAGGCGTACCGTTTTTTCCCATTAGACACCGGTTGTGTTAGAGAGGTCTTTGCATAACTCGTTTGAACTCGATCTGACATGAGCAAGTCAAGGCAGGAATGCATGAAAATTATCTGACTGTAGGACGAAAATATTATTTGTCCTTGACTGATCTTCAGTAAACTATAATTTCGCTTTCAACCGCACACGGATCTTGGATAAATTAAATGGGTGGATTTCATACCTCGTACTCGACCGACCACTCAGCCAATGGGCATATTGATTGCCCACCCTCTGATGAGGACCTACGCAAACAAATTGACAGTTCGACCGTCCCAAATGCCTATATCCACAATCTGCTTCATTACAGGGCGGGTGCGGGGATGGTGATTTGTGCGTAAATTCGTTTTAAGTGGTGGAAGACTCGCCCAGGGTCTGTCGCACTCTCTCCTCCCTCACCTACAGACCCTTGATG